TTTTAATGTAATGTTATTCATAATTTATTTTTTTCTTTCACTTCTACTATGTCTTTGCAACGTGATTGTTGTATATTCAACTAATTCAAAGACGAATAGGAGTCCGGTGGATCATACATAATGATATAAAAACCGAATAGGAACTCAGCTAACATATCCCTTTCTGGGAAAAAAACAGAAATGTCTTCTCCGTCTGATTTCAAATTCTTCTTCTACTAGTTCTAAAGCATCATGGGATATATAATCCATTCTGTTAAGAATCCACAAATCATCCGTTTTGAACCATATGCTATCTATGAAATGCTTATTAGATTTATGAAATAACTACAACTCAGTAGTTAATTATTCAATCACAATATCCCAAATGATAAGTCCTAAGCAAATCCTGGTTAAACCCAAAACAAATTCTCAACAGTGATATCACGAATGCAGTCGTGACTTGTTTCAGCACCTTGGAGAGAGACATTAGTTGCGCAGCAGCTTGTTTGGAAGATACATTTCTCCAAATGGTTATCAGTCTTTTTTAGTGGTACTTGGTTTGGTGGTGTTTTGAGTTTTAGATGTTTGAATTAAGTTTTGGATTTATTTTATTTTTTTCTTGTTCTTGTCATCTCTTTCATTCAACTCTTCTATATTTAGTGTTTCTCTTTTCAATGTGCTTTTTTTCTCTTTGCTCCTTTCTTATTTGAAATATATAGCAGTAGATACTTATATTTCCCAACTACTGATATGACAAAATATTTATTAATAATGTACATTAATAAATTGTCATTGGTTTTATTACGATCCGACGAAATTCAATCAGTCATTTCAAAGCAATTTTAAATCTGTCTTTGTGTTTCCTGATTCTGAACTCTAAGCGACGCTGTTGTTCAATAAAACATATCCCCTCATATATGACCACGCATTTCTCTACCATATTCTCCTGGCTTGTTGGAGAAAGGGGAGAACTAGATTGCCGTGTAAATTCAGGCGAAGATACAACAACTGAAACCTAAAAGAAACTCGTTTCCCTGTTGTACTTTTGGATATTTTCAGCGTGTGGATAGCAGCAAAAGAAACATTTTTGTTTTCTTTCTCGCCATGTCGTTCGGAATCAAACGCTACTCTGAATCGGTGAAATGGCGTTTTTGCTGCGGACAGATTTTGCTGCGTCTTATTTTCTTTTGCTACATCTGCCATTTTGTTACCGGACATATGAGATATTCGATCCCGGAAGAGATGAGGAAAGGCTCACTGATCGGTAATATTGCACAGGACCTCGGTTTGGATCTGAAAAGGCTCCGTTCTGGTCGGGCCCGCATTGTGAGCGGAGACAGCATCCAGTACGTCGAGCTGAAGGCAGACAAAGGGATTTTAGCAGTGAAGGAGAGAATCGACCGGGAGCAGCTCTGTGGCGACAAAACGCCGTGTAGTTTCACGTTTGAGATGATTTTAGAGAATCCGATGGAGCTGCATCAGATTACTGTCGAGATTACAGATATAAACGATAACTCCCCGACGTTCAAAAGAGATAGCATGCATTTTGAAATCAGTGAAATTGCTTCTGTTGGTGCGCGTTTTCCATTAGCAACTGCAGAAGACCTGGACGTCGGTGTGAATGGGATGAAAGAATATATCTTGAATGATGATGGTAATTTTGTTTTGAAGCAACATTCAAATGCAGAGGGAAAGAAATACGCGGAGTTGGTGCTTCAGAAGCCTTTAGACAGAGAGACAAGCCCCAGCCTCTCGCTAAAGCTGATCGCTGTGGACGGTGGAACCCCTCAGAGATCCGGTACCGTAAATATTGATGTTGTTGTTCTTGACGCTAACGATAACGGGCCTGTATTTAATCAGACTTTGTATAAAGCTACAGTGACAGAAAATGCCCTAAAAAACACTTTCGTTACGACTGTCAATGCTAGCGACGCCGATGTTGGATCAAATAGTGTTGTGACATATTATTTTTCAGACCTTTCTAACTCTCTTGGAGATTTATTTAAAATTGACGAGAAAAGTGGTGTCATTTTAACTACGGGCCTTATTGATTTTGAAAAAGATAAGAAGTTTGAGCTTCAGATCCATGCAAAGGACCAAGGAGGTCTGACAGATACTAGCAAGGTGATAATTGAAGTAGTTGATGTAAATGATAACGCTCCTGCTATAAGTGTGATGTCATTCACCAGTCCTGTATCAGAGGACTCTCCTCCTGGAACAACAATTGGCATTATAAATGTGAAAGACCTGGATTCAGGTGATAACGGTCAGGTGAGCTGTAAAATTGAAGGGCTGCTCCTTTTAAGATAGGACAAATCTAAAACATTATTATTCTTTAATAACAGATTCCGACTTGGACCGTGAAATGGTTTCAGAATATAATATCACAGTTGTCGCAATGGACAATGGAACGCCTCCACTTTCTGCTCAAAGAATATTTAATATTAAAGTGTCTGATGTGAATGACAACGCTCCGGTATTTCCAAAAAGAGTTTATACCGCATTTATTACAGAGAATAACTCCCCAGGTGTTTCTGTCCTCACTGTGAAAGCCAACGATCCTGATGACAATCAAAATGCTCGCATTTCCTATATTTTAGAAGATAAAAATATTGCTGGATCATCAGTTTCTGAATGTGTTTCTGTAAATGCAGAAACTGGAGTCGTACTGGCGGTGCGTTCATTTGATTATGAACAAATCAAAGAGCTTCTTTTCGTGGTTAAAGCGCAGGATGGAGGCTCTCCTCCTCTCAGCAGCAATGTAACTGTGAAGCTGATAATCCAGGACCAGAATGATAATCCACCTCAGGTTTTGTACCAGTCCAGACTGGTGGCTCCATGGTGGCTGAAATGGTTCCTCGTTCATCAGATGTGGGCTACCTGGTGACTAAAGTGGTGGCTGTGGATGTGGACTCTGGACAGAATGCCTGGCTCTCCTATAAACTACAGAAAGCCACAGACAGAGCGCTGTTTGAAGTGGGCTTACAGAATGGAGAAATAAGAACTATCCGTCAGGTGACTGATAAAGATGCTGTGAAACAAAGACTGACTGTCATAGTGGAGGACAACGGGCAGCCCTCTCGTTCAGCTACAGTCATTGTTAACGTGGCGGTGGCGGACAGCTTCCCTGAAGTCTTGTCGGAGTTCACTGACTTTCCTCACGATAAGGAATACAATGACAACTGACTTTTTACTTAGTGTTGGCTCTGGCGTGGTTTCCTTCCTCTTCATCACGTGTTTAGTGGTTATTATATCAGTGAAGATCTACAGATGGAGACAGTCTCGCATCCTGTATCACTCCAGCCTCCCTGTGATTCCATATTATCCACCTCGTTACTCAGACACTTTGGGAACAGGAACTCTGCCACACGTGTACAATTACGAGGCATGCAGAACGACTGACTCTAGAAAGAGTGACATTAAGTTCGGCCCAACTAACGGCCAGAACATTCTGCTAATGGACCCCACTTCTATTGGGACGATGCAGCGGATTCAGAGTGAGAAGAGCATTCTGGATGAACCTGACTCTCCTCTAGAGGTTAGTGACTTAGTTCCTTATTTCTCTTCATCAACCCTTCCTGCCTAAATGACATTCATGTATTTACACTCATCCAATTTTAGATTTCTGTTTTGTCCATCATAACAGTAACATATCTACAGACTGCTCCATATTGTATTACACATTGAGAACCTTAAAATGCAATTTTGATTCAGACACATATATGATGGAGACCTCTGCTGTTATCACTGATGGACAAAAGTATAAAATGTGAGATGGAACCTTTTGTTATTTTTATTGTGGGGTTTTGAAGGATTAACTTCATTCCATTATCTGATGCTCTTTTCTGTATCTTTTTTTAACTAAAACTACTTCATAGCTTTCATGGAGAAGATGCATTTGTTAAGTTTGTGGAGGTTCATGTGATGATTCATTGCGTCAAAGGCTTCTTTTCACATGTAGAAAGACTGCTCTAACTACCTTGCTATCATCTAAAGATTGTTTGGTGTTGTTGGTAAGGGTAGGAAGTAATCAATCCTGGTGAATCTCATTCGCAAAGCCCAAACTATCCCAGATAGATAAGCTTTTTTTGGGCTCAAGCATCTTTTATTTAACAGTGTTCAGACAGGAACACTGTCTGGTGTAATAATTCACTATTGATGCAGGGCTGTGAAGATTTTCTCTGGTTTCTTTGAGCAGCCTTTGAGATTTGTTTTATTGGAATATCCAGAGAGATTATGTGAGGGTGTTACAACAGGTGTTTTGGTGATGAACTTTAAATTTAAGTCCTTTTCTGCATTCTAATGTGATTGGTCAAATTGTGGTTTAATAGTCCCATCACAAGCTCTATGGTTTACTAGTGAAAAGTAAAATGATGAGTTCACTACGTTTTTGCATTTATCTTGTGGGAGTTTTGGTCACTTGATGTAAAATATAGTTGGATGCAATTATTTTTTAAATGTATTTAGCTATTCAGTTGATTGCCTACATGAGAGGTTTTTTTTTTTAAGAAATTAATCTATCTTGATAAAATGACACATTAAAACTTGGAACAACAAAGGAAAGTTCATATTTGGCAACAAAACAACATTCACAGACAAATAATCTAATCAATTTGAGTGTGAATTAATGTTAGAGTACTTGTGGATGCCTCTAATGTAAATGAGAACTCTCCTTCTCCTCCTGATTGTTTGTATTGTGTAAGGCAGGCATGACTTGGAACATCATTTCAACAACATACTGAAGAGTTATAACTTTTGTGGAGTTCCACGACACATCAATAATCCAAGAAGAATAAAAACTTAAAAATAATTTTTTGTGCATTTGTTTATTTAAAATTTTTAACTTTTTATTCTAAGTCAAACTTAGAGGAGAAATGTTTATCAGTATAATTATCAAGTTTATCAGAACAAACTGTACTGCACTGATTAATTGTTAAGCTCTTTTGAAGGTGATTGTCTTTGTCTTTATTGTTAATAAAGTAGTAATAGCCCACGTTAACCTTCGAGAATTTCTACTATAATCTGCATGGTGCTCATTCTGGACTCTAAGTGACGCTGTTGGTCAATGCATGTCCTCTAAAATGTTACATCACATTCTCCTCCCTTGTTCCCATGGCCAATGAGAGAAGAGCCCACAGTTTCCCTCATATATGCGGACATCAGAGCATTAAAGACGCTTCACCGAAGAAATAGGAAAGGATATTAAAAAGCTATATACTTTTACTTCAACTATATTTTTTATTTTTATTTTTTCATTTTCACACAAAAGCCCCTGCTTTATTGTTTTACAAAATTCTTTATCATTTGCTTTTTTCGGCATTTGCGATGGCTTGTGGAACACAAGGATGGGTGAAATGGCGAGATGGATTAAGACAGAAGTTGTTTCAATTTTTTCTCCTTTGTCACCTCAGCTATGTTGTCACCAGCCATATCAGATATTCGATCCCAGAAGAGATGAAGAAAGGCTCGCTGATCGGTAACGTAGCACAGGACCTCGGTTTGGATCTGAAAAGGCTGCGTTCCGGTCATGCCCGTATCGTGAGCGGAGACAGCATCCAGTACACCGAGCTGAAGGCAGACAAAGGGATTTTAGTGGTAAACGAGAGAATGGACCGGGAGCAGCTCTGTGGCGACACGACGCCGTGTAGTTTCAGTTTTGAGATGATTTTAGAGAATCCGATGGAGCTGCATCAGATTACGGTCGAGATTACAGATATAAATGATCACTCGCCCGTTTTTGAGACCGATCGAATCAATTTTGACATTAGCGAGTCAGCTACAACCGGAGCTCGCTTTTCATTAACTCGTTCAGAAGACCCCGATGTGGGTGCGAACGGATTGAGGGAATATTTCCTGAGTGAAAATGATCACTTTGTTCTCAAGCAACATTCAAATGCGGACGGAAAGAAATACGCAGAGATGGTTCTTCAGAAACCTTTAGACAGAGAAGCAAACCCGAATCTGTCGCTGAAACTGATCGCTGTTGACGGAGGAACACCTCAGAGATCTGGTACCGTAAATATTAATGTTGCTGTTCTTGATGTTAACGATAATGCGCCTGTTTTCAATCAGTCAGTGTATAAAGCTGTTGTGACGGAAATGTCTGCTAAAGGCACTTACGTCACCACTGTTAATGCCAGCGACGCAGATTTTGGTTCAAACAGTATTATTACGTATCATTTTTCAGACCACAAAAGTGGCCAAAGCAATTTATTTCGGATGGATGAAATTAGTGGAAATATTTACATAAATGGCGACATTGATTATGAAAAAGAAAAAAAGTTCGAACTAAGAATTGATGCCAAAGATCAGGGCGGATTGACAGATTCAAGTAAAGTGATTATTGAAGTGATTGATGTAAATGATAACGCTCCTGTAATAAGCGTCATGTCGTTCACTAACACTGTGTCAGAGGATTCTCCTCCTGGAACAACTATTGGTATTATTAATGTAAAAGACCTGGATTCAGGTGTTAATGGACAAGTGAACTGTAAAATTGACGGAAATGCGCCGTTTAAATTGAAATCAAATCTAAGAAAATATTATACTCTAATAACAGATTCTGTCTTAGACCGGGAAACAGTTTCAGAATATAACATCAGTGTTATTGCTACAGATGGTGGAATACCTCCGCTCTCAGCCCAAATTACGTTTAATTTAAAAGTTTCTGATGTGAATGACAACGCTCCAGTTTTTTCACAAAGTGTTTACAGCGCCTTTATAAAAGAGAATAACTCCCCAGGTTTGCCTTTTATTACGCTGAAAGCCAAAGACCCTGATGAGAACCATAACTCTCGTATATCCTATATTTTAGAGGACACAAATGTTGGCGGATCTCCAGTATCTACATATGTTTCTGTAAATGTAGAAACTGGAGTCATACAGGCAATTGGCACATTTGATTATGAACAGATTAAAAAGATCGTGTTTGTTGTCAAAGCGCAGGATGGAGGCTCTCCTCCACTCAGCAGCAACGCGACTGTCACATTACTTATACAAGACCAGAACGATAATCCACCTCAGGTTTTGTATCCAGTTCAGACTGGTGGCTCCATGGTGGCTGAAATGGTTCCTCGTTCAGCAGATGTGGGCTACCTGGTGACTAAAGTGGTGGCTGTGGATGTGGACTCTGGACAGAATGCCTGGCTCTCCTATAAACTACAGAAAGCCACAGACAGAGCGCTGTTTGAAGTGGGTTACAGAATGGAGAAATAAGAACTATCCGTCAGGTGACTGATAAAGATGCTGTGAAACAAAGACTGACTGTCATAGTGGAGGACAACGGGCAGCCCTCTCGTTCAGCTACAGTCATTGTTAACGTGGCGGTGGCGGACAGCTTCCCTGAAGTCTTGTCGGAGTTCACTGACTTTCCTCACGATAGGAATACAATGACAACCTGACTTTTTACTTAGTGTTGGCTCTGGCTGTGGTTTCCTTCCTCTTCATCACGTGTTTAGTGGTTATTATATCAGTGAAGATCTACAGATGGAGACAGTCTCGCATCCTGTATCACTCCAGCCTCCCTGTGATTCCATATTATCCACCTCGTTACTCAGACACTTTGGGAACAGGAACTCTGCCACACGTGTACAATTACGAGGTGTGCAACAACTGACTCTAGAAAGAATGACTGTAAGTTCGGAAGCGCCGGTAGTCAAACATACTGATGATGGATCCCAGTTCTACAGGGACTATCCAGAAGATAGAGAGTGAGAAGAGCATCCTGGATGACACTGACTCTCCTCCAGAGGTGAGCAGCTGAGGTTACTATTAATGAAAGTTCATGTTGTCTTGATGAATAAATGTTGCATGCAGTTAATTGCATTTATGTAAAATGCACGTTTTCAGCACCTCCTCAAGGACAGCTCCTCTTCACCAGGGATGTTTTCTGTGTTTTTGTGTTTTTTCTGTTTATTTGAAAGTGCCTATAGGTAAAAGCTGTGAGGTATTTATATGCGCTGTAGTACACTGTATAATAATAATAATAATAATAATAATAATAATAATAATAATAATAATAATAATAATAATAATAATAATAATCGTAAACTTTATATTCAGTATATACTTTTTTTCCTTTTGCTATTTTTATTTATAGCTCATTCTAAAACAAGTCATTAATGTTCACATTTGGTCTGTAGGTGACGCTGTTCAACAAGGTAAAATACCACAGTTTCTTGTGTCTTCCTCTTCTGTGGGTGTTGTGTGAGATCCTGCCACGGCTGATGACTGCAAACGCTGCTTTCGTCAGGAAACGGATATTTATGGGAAATAATACTTTAACTCTTCATTTGTCTTGTTTGCTAAGAAAACAGATTTAATGTGAAGGAGCGGATTCTGGAAAAGGACTGACAAATCTTTCTTTGACGATTTATTTTCTTCGCCTGTTCTCTGAATTTAATCGTGCAGTAATGGCGTTTCAGCAGCCCTTGTGGAAATGGCGTTTTCTGTTCGGCTTTCAGTGGATACAAGCTGTTTTTCTGTTTCTTTCATCCCATACCGTTTCTGGACATATCCGCTACTCTATTCCAGAGGAGATGAAGAAGGACTCTCTTATCGGTCAAATAGCCCAGGATTTAGGTTTGGACCTGAAAAGACTCGGTTCTGGTCGAGCCCGGATCGTGACCGGAGAGAGCATCCAGTACACCGAGCTGAAGGCAGACAAAGGGACTCTGGTAGTGAATGAAAGAATAGACCGAGAGCAGCTTTGCGGAGAGGCAGCCTCGTGCAGTTTCAGCTTTGAAGTCATTTTGGAAAACCCGATGGAGCTGCATCCTGTGACAATCGAAGTGCTGGATGTGAATGATCACAGCCCCGTGTTTAAGAAAACACACATTATGTTAGAGATCAGCGAGTCCGCTAATCTTGGAGCGCGGTTTGTGTTGGACAGCGCGGAGGATCCCGATGTTGGCGTCAATGGCCTGCAAAATTATATTTTAACCCAAAACGAAAATTTCGTTTTAAAGCAGCACGTCAGTCCGGAAGGGGGTAAATATGCAGAGATGGTTCTGCAGAAGCAACTTGACAGAGAAGCGGCACCGCATTTATCTCTAAGACTTATGGCACTCGATGGTGGCAATCCACAAAGATCTGGTACGGTGAATATAGATATAAAGGTTTTAGATGCAAATGATAATGCGCCCGTTTTTAAACAATCTGTGTATAAGACAACTGTCACGGAAAATGCGGCAGCTGGCACTCATATTGTTACCGTAAATGCTACAGACGCAGACAGCGGAACCAATGGTCACATCACATATTCCGTTTCAAACGCAAAGAGCAACGTAGCTGAATTGTTGTCCATTGATCCGCATTCTGGCGTGTTATCTGTCGCGGGTGAAATAGATTTCGAAAAGGATAAAAAGTATGAAATTCGAATTGATGCGAAGGATCAAGGCGGTCTCACCGATTCTAGCAAAGTGGTTATTGAGGTTGTCGATGTAAATGATAACGCCCCTGTAATAAACGTGATGTCCTTTACTAGTCCCGTGTCAGAGGATTCTCCTCCTGGAACAACTGTTGGTATCATTAATGTAAAAGACCTGGATTCAGGTGATAATGGACAAGTGAGCTGCAAGATCGAAGGGAATGCTCCTTTTAGGATAAAGTCTAATTTAAGAAATTACTACACTTTGACAACAGATTCTGTGTTAGACCGAGAAAGTGTTTCAGAATATAATATTACCATAATTGCCACTGACGGCGGAAAACCCCCGCTGTCAGCTAAAAGAATCTTTAACTTAAAAGTATCTGATGTAAACGATAATGCGCCAGTTTTTTCACAAACTGCTTATAACGCTTTTGTAGGAGAGAATAATTCCCCAGGTGTCTCGGTTCTTGCACTGTCAGCTAAAGACCCTGACGAGAATCAAAACGCTCGTATATCCTACACTCTGGATCACATAACGCTTGCTGGATCCCCAATAACTGAATATGTTTCTGTAAATATAGAAACTGGAGTCATACAGGCGGTACGCTCATTTGATTATGAACAAATTAAAGAGTTCGTCTTTATTGTGACAGCACAAGATGGAGGCTCTCCTCCACTCAGCAGCAACGTAACCGTAAAAATCCTGATTGAGGACCAGAATGATAATCCACCTCAGGTTTTGTATCCAGTCCAGACTGGTGGCTCCATGGTGGCTGAAATGGTTCCTCGTTCAGCAGATGTGGGCTACCTGGTGACTAAAGTGGTGGCTGTGGATGTGGACTCTGGACAGAATGCCTGGCTCTCCTATAAACTACAGAAAGCCACAGACAGAGCGCTGTTTGAAGTGGGCTTACAGAATGGAGAAATAAGAACTATCCGTCAGGTGACTGATAAAGATGCTGTGAAACAAAGACTGACTGTCATAGTGGAGGACAACGGGCAGCCCTCTCGTTCAGCTACAGTCATTGTTAACGTGGCGGTGGCGGACAGCTTCCCTGAAGTCTTGTCGGAGTTCACTGACTTTCCTCACGATAAGGAATACAATGACAACCTGACTTTTTACTTAGTGTTGGCTCTGGCGGTGGTTTCCTTCCTCTTCATCACGTGTTTAGTGGTTATTATATCAGTGAAGATCTACAGATGGAGACAGTCTCGCATCCTGTATCACTCCAGCCTCCCTGTGATTCCATATTATCCACCTCGTTACTCAGACACTTTGGGAACAGGAACTCTGCCACATGTGTACAATTACGAGGTGTGCAGGACGACTGACACCAGAAAGAGTGATATGCAACCAAGGAATCAAAACTTAGTGAGTGTGGATGGAATTGAAATGGATCCACCGGAAGTGGAAGAGCATCTTACGAAACATAGCTTGCAGACGCTGACTTTGGTGAGTGTTAAACCTTTTAACACCATTTATTTGTGGGAATATCCCAATTTAAGTCTTGTATTGACTTTTATTGTATGTCGCTATCCATGGTGCTGCAGGAATCAGTTCGTAATTTCAGAGCATTTTTTTTTCCAAACTGCTTTTTATGTAAATTTATTTGAGATAATTTACTGGAAAATCAGCTTTTTTACAATTAGCACTAAATCAGGTATTCATATTACTACAAAAAGCTCAGACATCTATACATATTTTGAATCTACCACAATATTTTACATTTCCTACTGTAACAATGTAAAAGTTTTACTCACACATACGTAAAACAAAATGACTTTTTCTCAAGGATTATTCCTGAAATAGGATTTTTTTAATCACTGTTTCACCTTATACATTACATATTAAATATTAAACATAGAACAAATAAAAACTAACATATCAGAACCTAGTAAATAGAGGAAACTGTTGAGTGAATTGTTGCATGAACTGATAAATAAATAAATGCGTACATAAATAAATGCACAACAACTTAGATTTTAGCTCCACACTATTACTGATTTAAATTCTGTATTATTTCCTCGTATAATGGTGGTAACTTTATTATCGTTGTTGTTAGTACTATTCTCTAGTTTTAATTATCCATTAATTTATTCTGTGCATTTATCTAATTCAAAGATGATCGTTAATATGTGACACTCCACCAATATATTTTGTTTTTTAAGGTTACTCTTTTTATCATAAAGCGTTCTTATTTTTTAAAACCTTCTGTTCAGTGTAAGTTATTACACTGACTCGACTCTGAGTGCCGCTGTTGATACATCACTGAAATCCTGTGCAAATTCAGATTGCAGCAGTCCACCTCCTTTCCCTGACATTCAGTGTTTCACATGTCGAAGCGCAGACCTCCATATTTTTTACCGTCTAATCTCTACTCAACGCTCCATCCTGAAAGCATCATCCGTTTGAAAGTTTCTGGATTTTCTTTACACCCGTTTAGCCCTGAAGGGATTGCTGCTTGTGCGCACTTGGATTCGTGATGTTTTGTGCGTGGATGCCCGCTGCCAGAGTCCGAATGCGAGCGCTGGTTGCCATTCTTTGTCTTTTAAAGACGAGCTCGGTGACGGCCCAGGCTCGGTATTCCGTACCGGAGGAACAATCAGTGGGTTCTTTTGTTGGAAACATTGCCAGGGATTTGGGCTTGGATTTGCAGAGGCTTGTTGGAGGTAATGCTCGTATTATTACGAAAGATAGCCAGCAGTATGTGGATTTAAACCGAGAGAAAGGCATCCTCGTTATTAAAGAGCGAATTGACCGAGAAGAGCTGTGCGGAAAGACGACGCCCTGCAGCTTCAGCTTCGAGGTGATTTTAGAAAACCCCATTCAGCTTTACCGGGTCACAGTAGAGGTGGTAGATGTCAATGATAACAGCCCATCCTTTCAAAAGAAGGAAATAAACCTAAAAATCGTTGAAAGTGTTGCGCCGGGGACTCGCTTCACTCTAGTCAGCGCAGATGACCCGGATGTCGGCATGAACGACATTCAAAAATATGTCTTGAAACCTTTAGATCATTTTAAATTGGAAGTGCAAAACCAACCCGACGGAGGGACATTCATTGAAATTGTTTTAGAAAACACTCTGGATCGAGAGCAGGAAGACACGCACACGCTTGTGCTGACAGCCTCAGATGGGGGCGAACCGCGCAGATCGGGAACAGTCAGCATCCATATTACTGTATTGGATGCTAATGACAACGCTCCAGTGTGCCGTCAGTCAGTGTATAAAGCCGAGGTGAGGGAGAACTCTCCCGAAGGAACAGTGGTCACAACAGTGGAGGCAGATGACGCAGATAAAGGAGTTAATGGCGAGGTGACGTTCTCCATCCCTCATGTCGGAAAAGAGGCGAAGCAGCTGTTCGGTGTAAATGCTACAACAGGTGAAGTTAAAGTTTTAGGTAAGGTGGACTTTGAAAAGTCTAAAACATACCAATTAAACGTTCAGGCTAGTGACCACGGGGGATATTCGGATACCTGTAAAGTCATCATTCAAGTAATTGATGAAAATGACAACGCACCTACAATACAGCTCATGTCATTTTCAAATTTAATTTCAGAGGACTCTCCCCCAGGCACAACTATAGCAGTTGTTAACGTGGATGATGAAGACTCTGAAAGAAATGGTCATGTCAGGTGTTCCATTAACTCTGACATACCTTTTAAAATTGAGTCCTCTCTGACAGGTTACTACACTATAGTGACCGAAAATATCTTAGACAGAGAAACTAACCCTGAGTATAATATCACCATGACTGTATCTGACCAAGGCTTCCCACCTCTTTCTAGTACCAAAAACATGAATGTAAAGGTTTCTGATGTGAATGACAACCCACCACAGTTCAGTCAATCAGAATACACAATGAGCATACCAGAAAACAACTCCCCTGGATGTTCTGTGTTTACAGTCAGTGCTACTGATGCAGATTGGGGTCAAAATGCGAGATTGTCTTACTTTTTAGAGGAAAGAGAGATAAATGGGATAGCGGTCACAAACTTAGTATCAGTGAACTCAGATAGTGGTGTCATACATGCTGTGAAATCGTTTGATTATGAACAGATAAAGTGTTTTGAGATTAACATAACTGCTCGGGATGCTGGATCCCCTCCTCTGAGCTCAGTTGCTACACTTAAAATAATAATTCAGGACAAGAATGATAATCCACCTCAGGTTTTGTATCCAGTCCAGACTGGCGGCTCCATGGTGGCTGAAATGGTTCCTCGTTCAGCAGATGTGGGCTACCTGGTGACTAAAGTGGTGGCTGTGGATGTGGACTCTGGACAGAATGCCTGGCTCTCCTATAAACTACAGAAAGCCACAGACAGAGCGCTGTTTGAAGTGGGCTTACAGAATGGAGAAATAAGAACTATCCGTCAGGTGACTGATAAAGATGCTGTGAAACAAAGACTGACTGTCATAGTGGAGGACAACGGGCAGCCCTCTCGTTCAGCTACAGTCATTGTTAACGTGGCGGTGGCGGACAGCTTCCCTGAAGTCTTGTCGGAGTTCACTGACTTTCCTCACGATAAGGAATACAACGACAACCTGACTTTTTACTTAGTGTTGGCTCTGGCTGTGGTTTCCTTCCTCTTCATCACGTGTTTAGTGGTTATTATATCAGTGAAGATCTACAGATGGAGACAGTCTCGCATCCTGTATCACTCCAGCCTCCCTGTGATTCCATATTATCCACCTCGTTACTCAGACACTTTGGGAACAGGAACTCTGCCACATGTGTACAATTACGAGGTGTGCAGGACGACTGACTCCAGAAAGAGTGACTGTAAATTTGGAAGAGCTGGTAGCCAGAATGTGTTGATAATGGATCCCAGTGCAACAGGGACGATGCAGCGGATACAGAATGAGAAGAACATCCTAGATGAACCCGACTCTCCTCTAGAGGTTAGTCATCCTCATCAACTTATACAGTTTGTTTTTCAGCATTTCATTGTGCAGATATGCTTTTTTTTAAGTTTATTTCAAGTGCCAGTGAAGTTCATTTTTGTAAATCATATATATGTATATATATAATGAACATCAAGTTCATTTAAAAATATTTTGATGTGTGCATATGCTTCCATGAATTTTCAGATTAATAATGTAGCAATATTCATTGATACTCTCTTCCACGTTTTAATTTTATGTTGATTATCTCCATCCAAATTAACACTTTAAAATGTCAATCATTGGACATATCTTTTGTAAGATGGATTTTGTGCATACCTGGTTTGATTAAAATATGCATTCAAATTTGTTTTTTTTTTTCCCCAGCTTAAGGTGACATTGTTTGTTTTTCCCCTCTTTTTACTCCTTCTGTAGATACTGGGGAGAAAAAAATAAATTAATCAAAAACTGTATAGGCCCGCAAACGTTGAATAGTACTGATGTGCAGATTATTGAATTTTATTATCATTTTGTTTTATTTTGTTTTTATGTTGACACACTTACCATTTTCATTTTAAACTCTGGGGGCCGCTGTAAGTCTTTGTAGCAAATATAACGCTTATGAAAAGGAGCTACACCTCTGAAGCCTGACTTGATGTTCCGCGGAGGGCAGGACGTTCGTTTTTTATTTTCATCAGCGGTTTCTACACTTCGGCGTGCGATGTATCCCGACTGGATGATCTAGGAAAATAAATCTGAGGCTATCGTGTATGACAATTAAGACTTCGGACGGATATTTTCTCGTATTTGGACGTTTTCTTTCGGGAATATGCATTTCATCAGCACGGAACACGCAGTGATATGGCAAGTACAGGCCTCCCTCCTTGTTTTGTTCATTGAATCCACCGTCGGCCAGATCCGCTACTCCGTCCCGGAGGAAATGAGAAAGGGCTCATATGTGGGAAATGTAGCTGAGGACTTGGGTGTCGACGCACAAAGATTAAAATTAGGTGGTGCCCGAATTGTTAGCGGCGATAGCAGTGAGTACATCAAGCTTGATGTAGACAAAGGGAATCTAGTCGTGGGAAACAGGATAGACAGAGAGCAGCTCTGTGGGCAGACGTCGCCTTGCAGCCTGAATTTTGAAATGATTCTGACAAATCCGATGCAGCTGCATAGCGTTGTGGTCGAAGTACTCGACATTAATGACAACGCGCCCACATTTCATGAGAAGGGAATGCACGTAGAAGTCTCTGAATCGGCTCTTCCAGGAACAGAAATATTACAAGTCAGCGCCACAGATCGAGATGTCGGCATCAACGCTTTACACGGTTATGCATTACATCCAACGACTAATTTCAACATTAAAGTCCTCTCCAGCCCGAATGGCCACAAATATGCACAGCTGTATCTTTCTGACACTTTGGATCGAGAAAAAGACGGAAAACTTATTTTAACACTCTCTGCTGTTGATGGCGGCGAACCGCAACGATCGGGAAGCCTAAAAATACACGTGACCGTTCTGGACACAAATGATAATGCTCCCGTTTTTGTGCAACATAATTTTAAGGCTTCTGTCAAAGAAAATATTCCAGAAGGATCTTTAGTCTTGAGCTTGAGCGCGACGGATGCAGATGAAGGGAAGAACGGACACGTTACATATCATTTTAATCACATGTCCAATAAGATTGCTGAGATTTTTCATCTGGATGAAAACAGCGGCGATTTAACTGTTAAGGGAAGGATTGACTATGAAGAAAATAAGCTGTACGAAATTGGGGTTCAAGCAAAGGATCAAGGCGGACAAAGCACATCCACTAACGTGGTAGTTGAGGTAATAGATGTGAATGACAACGCGCCTTTAATTACGCTCACCTCGTTTTCTAACACGATACCTGAAGACTCTCCCAGTGGAACCACTGTTGCTATAATAAACGTTAAAGATTTAGATTCAGGCAAAAATGGAAAAGTGGACTGCTCCGTTAATGGCAATATCCCTTTTGCCTTACAGTCATCGCTTAAGAACTATTACACTCTTGTCACAAACGGCGTTCTGGACAGAGAGCAGAAACCTGAGTATAACATCACATTTATGGCTGTGGATGAAGGAACTCCGCCGCTTTCTACGAACAACACTATAACTCTTAGAATATCAGACATAAATGATAACGCCCCTCTATTTGAAAAGGATTTTTATGAAGCTAGTATCGTGGAAAATAACTCCCCGGGTTTGTCAGTGTTTTCTCTAAAAGCGCATGACTCTGATTCAGGACAGAATGCTAGAGTGTCTTATCTGCTTATCGAAACTGAGCTTCATGGTAGCCCCTTATCCAGTTACGTATCAGTGAACGCAGAAACCGGTGTTATACAAGCAGTTCGATCATTTGACTACGAGCAAATGAAAAAAATAAACATTCACCTGAAAGGTCAGGATGGAGGTTCGCCACCATTAACCAGCAACACAACTGTTATATTAAATATTCTCGATCAGAATGATAATCCACCTCAGGTTCTGTATCCAGTCCAGACTGGTGGCTCCATGGTGGCTGAAATGGTTCCTCGTTCAGCAGATGTGGGCTACCTGGTGACTAAAGTGGTGGCTGTGGATGTGGACTCTGGACAGAATGCCTGGCTCTCCTATAAACTACAGAAAGCCACAGACAGAGCGCTGTTTGAAGTGGGCTTACAGAATGGAGAAATAAGAACTATCCGTCAGGTGACTGATAAAGATGCTGTGAAACAAAGACTGACTGTCATAGTGGAGGACAACGGGCAGCCCTCTCGTTCAGCTACAGTCATTGTTAACGTGGCGGTGGCGGACAGCTTCCCTGAAGTCTTGTCGGAGTTCACTGACTTTCCTCACGATAAGGAATACAATGACAACCTGACTTTTTACTTAGTGTTGGCTCTGGCTGTGGTTTCCTTCCTCTTCATCACGTGTTTAGTGGTTATTATATCAGTGAAGATCTACAGATGGAGACAGTCTCGCATCCTGTATCACTCCAGCCTCCCTGTGATTCCATATTATCCACCTCGTTACTCAGACACTTTGGGAACAGGAACTCTGCCACATGTGTACAATTACGAGGTGTGCAGAACGACTGACTCCAGAAAGAGTGACTGTAAATTTGGTGGATCTAGTAGTCAGAATGTGTTGATAATGGATCCCAGTACTACAGGGACTATGCAACGGATTCTGAGTGAGAAGAACATCCTGGATGAACCAGACTCTCCTTTAGAGGTTAGTTGTTCTCCCTTTCTGTCCTTATAGAAAAACTACATTTCTTGCTGTGAGTTTCACTTTCAGAACCATAGACAGTGATTGATTTTGCTTTTGGTGGAATCTGTGAAAACATTTTTTTCTGAAAAAAGCAACTTCCTGTCAAGTTACATGCAACAAGACTGTCTCTGTCTGTCTGTGTGCATACTTATCACAAAATGGCTTTGTTTTTGGAAAATTAATTTTGTGATTTATTTTGTGTGGTTGAGGAAGATGGATGAGCTCATCTAGGACACCAATCCTGAAAAAAGGAATGGTTTTATTACACACCTGTACTTTCTAAGATTTTTTATTTTTTATATTAACATTTATAATCGTCCTCTTCAACTTAATGTATTTTTTCATATTATTTATTAATAAATAGGCATTTCCTAAATATTGGCCTATTTTAGTCATTTACTTAAATAATTTAACATTTGATATTTATTTATTTATTTATTTATTTATTTATTTATTTATTATTTATTTTTATTTAATTTTTTTGTTTGTTTCTTTGTTTTGCTGTCAACTGACAGATTTTTGTCTTACGATATTATAGAAGCATTGGTTACTTTTTTCAGATTTTGAGTTTGACTATATAGGCTAAAGGGTTAAGTTTGTGCTTTCTGTCAACATATTTCACTTAATATGATGAAAATTACAGCACTAATGTTGCGTTTGCTTTATATCGACTCATATATGTAATAAATTTTTATTTCAGCTTTTGGTTAAAGGTTTTTTCCAATTTAATTTGCTTTACGCTGTGCAGACTCTAAGGGACGCTGTTGGCCAGAAAAACATTTTTGAGCAATGTTGCAAGTGAGGAAGAGGAGAGAGAGGAGGCAGAGAAAAGCGTCTTCACACGGAATAAAGCTTACACGAAATTAGACGAGAAGCGATCGTTTTTGTCCGACCGACATGCAGAGGACTTAGAGTTTTGTTCAGCTTGCTCAGACCTCACTAACTCAAGTGGATCTAAAGTTCGGTATTGTCATATTTCCTGATGGAGACCCACCAGCATCGACGTGGAAAATGGCTTCTGCTGCTCAGGACGCCTCTGTGGCAACTGTTTCTTGTTCTCTTGATGTCTTTCTCCACTCACGCCCAAATCCGTTATTCAATACCAGAGGAGATGAAGAAAGGTTCCCTTATCGGTAATGTTGCACAAGATCTTGGTTTGGACTTGAATAGGCTGCGTTCTGGTCGTGCCCGTATCGTGAGCGGAGAGAGCAATCGGTACACCGAGCTGAAGGCGGACAAAGGGATTTTAGTCGTGAATGAGAAAATCGACAGAGAGCAGCTCTGTGGAGAGGTAACGCCGTGCAGTTTCAGCTTTGAAATCATTTTGGAAAATCCAATTGAACTGCATAGAGTCACTGTGGAAATACTAGACGTGAATGATCATGCGCCAACCTTCAAAAATAAAGCGATCAATTTAGAAATTAGCGAATCTGCAACGATAGGATCCCACTTTGACTTAGAAAGCGCATATGACCCTGATGCGGGTATTTATGGCTTGCAACATTATGTCCTTTCGCCGAATGACCATTTTGTTTTGAAGCAGCACTCTAACGCAGACGGAGTAAAATTTCCTGTTATGATTTTACAGAAGTCATTAGACCGAGAGCTGAACCCGCACGTCTCTTTAAAGCTGATAGCTGTAGATGGAGGAGCTCCGCAGCGCTCCGGAACAGTAAATATAGAGATCAATGTTCTCGATGTTAACGATAATCCTCCGAAATTCAGTCAGTTAGTGTACAAAGCTGTTGTGGTGGAAAACGCCCCCATAGGCACATACATAACAACGGTAAATGCCTCAGATGCAGACAGCGGTTCTGATGGCTTAGTGACGTATTCGTTTTCAAATGTAAAAAGAAATTTTGCTTTTGAAATTGACAGCGTGTCTGGCAGAATAACTGTGGTTGATAATATCGATTATGAGAAAGACAAGAAATTTGAAATAAGAGTAATCGCAAAAGATCAGGGAGGTCTCACTGACGCAACAAAAGTTACAATCGACGTTTTAGACGCTAATGATAACGCACCAGTTATTAGTGTAATGTCCTTCTCAAACTCTGTTTCAGAGGACGCACCTCCAGGTACGACTGTGGGTGTTTTTAACGTAAAAGATGCTGATTCTGACAGAAACGGGAAAATAAAATGCTCAGTTTAATCCAACTTCCCATTTAAGATACAGTCCTCCCTCACGGATTATTATAATTTGCTATTAGATGCGTCTCTTGATCGAGAAACGAATCCTGAATATAATATAACAATTACCGCAATGGATCATGGATCTCCCTCACTATCTTCGTCTACAGTTTTGTATTTGAAAGTCTCTGATGTAAACGACAATCCGCCAGTCTTCGAAAATCCAAATTATTCGGCATTAATAATTGAAAATAACACCCCGGGGGTTTCAATGTTCAGTATGAGTGCAAGAGATTCAGACTGGAATCAAAACGCAAAAATATCATACTTTCTGGAGGACTCTGTGGTTAGTGGCAGTCCAGTTTCTTCCTATGTGTCAATAAATTCCGAAAGCGGAGTAATACAAGCAGTGCGCTCATTTGATTATGAACAAATAAAACAACTTATGTTTACAGTAAGAGCGCAGGATGGAGGCTCTCCTCCATTGAGCAGCAACGTAACTGTGAAAATCCTGATCCAGGACCAGAATGATAATCCTCCTCAGGTTCTGTATCCAGTCCAGACTGGTGGCTCCATAGTGGCTGAAATGGTGCCTCGTTCAGCAGATGTGGGCTACCTAGTGACTAAAGTGGTGGCTGTGGATGTGGACTCTGGACAGAATGCCTGGCTCTCCTATAAACTACAGAAAGCCACAGACAGAGCGCTGTTTGAAGTGGGCTTACAGAATGGAGAAATAAGAACTATCCGTCAGTGACTGATAAAGATGCTGTGAAACAAAGACTGACTGTCATAGTGGAGGACAACGGGCAGCCCTCTCGTTCAGCTACAGTCATTGTTAACGTGGCGGTGGCGGACAGCTTCCCTGAAGTCTTGTCGGAGTTCACTGACTTTCCTCACGATAAGGAATACAATGACAACCTGACTTTTTACTTAGTGTTGGCTCTGGCGGTGGTTTCCTTCCTCTTCATCACGTGTTTAGGGTTATTATATCAGTGAAGATCTACAGATGGAGACAGTCTCGCATCCTGTATCACTCCAGCCTCCCTGTGATTCCATATTATCCACCTCGTTACTCAGACACTTTGGGAACAGGAACTCTGCCACATGTGTACAATTACGAGGTGTGCAGGACGACTGACTCCAGAAAGAGTGACCATAAGTTTGGATGTGCTGGTAGCCAGAATGTGTTGATAATGGACCCCAGTTCTACAGGGACTATGCAGCGGATTCAGAGTGAGAAGAGCATCCTGGATGAACCCGACTCTCCTCTAGAGGTTAGTTATTAAGAGTCAACAGTTTAGTTATATATTATCACTTTATCTTATCTGCATATTTTATTTGTGTTGTAGAGTTTCCAATACTCTACCGTAAAACTTCTGTTATTGTTTCCTAACTTTTTTTCTGGGAGATTTTGCATTAATTTTAATCAAAACTGTTTGGTTGCTCTTGTTTTCCATAGACAGCTTTCTCAAAGTATGTTGTTATGATTATTTGATTCGAGAAAGTATAGTTGGAAACAAATGCCTTCTTCTCTGGTTAAGCCTTTTTTTAAATTGCTTTTTTGAAGCTGCAGTTGATCTTAAAGTCAGCACCATGGATAGCTCCTATGTCGTTTCAAGCGCCATTTTACTGAGTTTTATCTTTTATTTTCTGTTTTTCTGATATCTAATTTTAATAACATATAATCATCAACCTTGCCCTTATGATGGATATAAATATTCTAATTTACATAATTTTATTTTCTCATAATTTTGTATTGCTAATGTTTCCAGCTGTGTCTGAGAGGGTTGTAAGTAATTGTATCAATAAAATGATCAAGTTGCTTTGTTTGCATGGCTTGTTAGCAAATCGGACCCACACCTATTTTTATAATATTTGTAAATATTAATTTTTAAAGGATTTAGTCAATTTGGGGGGGTAAGATTTAGAAGACAATTTAATGCACTGATAAATGTTGAACTTGCCATGAAGCTCATTATATAAATTATAATTCAAGAATCTGAGAGAAATGTTTGGTTTAATTTCTGGGTAATTCAATTCAATTCAATTAGTTTTAGTTCACAAAAAATGCAATGATACAAAAACAATTTAATTTTAAACATTTTAAAGTTCACTGCAGACGTTGATTTCCTTATTTTTTTTAAAATAGCAACGGCATTGTATGTCATCTAATATAATCCGTTCCTTTCCTTCACCAGGAACATTTCAAGCTTTTTAATCTTCTGATGTGTTACATGTTTTCTCTTTTTTGCATTGACGCAATGCTTTTGAAATAGACTCCTTAGACATCAAGAGTCAATTTTACTTCCATCTTTGTAATATTCTGCAGTTCAGCTTGTTGAACTCCTAGGGCCGCTATTGGCTAGTCTGTGATTGCAAGGAGATGCAATATTCAGCAACTCCCTTCTCTTCTCAGAGAGAGAGAGAGAGAGAGAGAGAGAGAAAACGGTAGACAGAGAACAAACAGCTCAGGATGTTGACGCAACTTATCGGTTTTGGATTATTTTCGCTTCGTTGGATGATTCTCCTTCTGGATTTGCAGCTCACAGTGTAATCGTTGATTACATTAGACCACGTGACCGAGTTTTTTTTAATTCACATTTTAACGGAAATAGAATCCGAATCGCCATTTAACAAGACTGGATTGACAGGATTGCGACGATCAGAACAATGGGACTACTAGGTCTGATTTCCATCACGCTCCCGTGTTTCATTTTAGTGAGTGGGCAGGTCAGCTACTCCGTTCCTGAGGAAATGCCTGTGGGATCTTTCGTGGGAGACATTGCACAGGATTTAGGTTTGGATGTGAAAAGACTGAAATCGGGAAAGGCCCGCATTTATACAGGAGACAGTGCCGAGTACATCGTGCTGGATAAAGAAAAGGGAGTCCTCCTCATTAACAACAGGGTCGACAGAGAAGCGATCTGTGCAGAGACTGCGCCGTGTGCTCTAAATTTCCAGGTTATTCTAGAAAACCCCATGGAATTTTACGGAGTCACCGTGGAAATCACCGATGTAAATGACAACGCACCGATTTTTAAAAGAGGTGAAATGAAATTTAAAATTTCTGAGTCGGTTGTTACAGGGACAGCTTTTGTGTTAGAGCAAGCGATGGATCTGGATGTAGGTAAGAACGGCCTACAGCGTTATTTGTTATATCCTACAGATAACTTTATGTTGAAACTGCAAAATCAGGTAGACGGAGGCAAGACAGTGGAAATGATTTTAGACAAGCCACTAGATCGGGAAAAAAATGATCGTCTCTCGCTTGTATTGACGGCAATAGACGGCGGTGAGCCGCAGCTTTCCGGATCAGTTCAAATACATATAAATGTCCTCGACAGCAATGATAACGCCCCGGTGTTTACGCAGAAAGTCTATAAATCATCAATAAGAGAAGATTCACCAACAGGAACCGTTGTCATTAAAGTTAGTGCCATAGATTCTGACGAGGGATCTAACGCAAAAATATCATATGAAATATTAAACTCCGTTGATGACGCATCTGAAATATTTAAAATAAACAGAGAGACTGGCGAAATTACGTTGGCCGGAAACACTGACTATGAGAGGAAACGACAATATCAATTACATGTTCAGGCAGGTGATACTGGAGGACTGATTGATTCTTGTAAGGTTACTATAGAAATAATTGATATAAATGACAACACACCTGCCATAAATATTATGTCAAAGTCAGCTGTAGTTACAGAAGACGTTCAACCTGGAACAGTTGTCACAATTATAAACACATTGGATCCAGATTCAGCTGAAAACGGAAAAGTACAATGTAAAATTCAAAGAGACATCCCATTTTCTATTTCTACAACATCAAATAACTTTTTCAGTATTATAACAGACAGCGAATTAGACAGAGAAACAGCAGCGGAGTTTAACATCACAGTGACCTGTTCTGATGAAGGCGTGCCCTCTCTCTCCAGTAGCATCACTCTCACTTTGGAGATCTCTGATGTAAATGACAATGCTCCTGTCTTTGAGAAAAGTTCTTATGAGGCCTACATTGTAGAAAACAACACACCAGGTGTCTCTATATTTACAGTAAAAGCTACAGATGCTGATTGGAACCAGAATGCTCGTGTTTCTTACATACTAGAAGAATCCTCTATTAACGGAGTGCCAGTCTCTTCCTATGTATCTGTTAGCGCTGATAGTGGAGTCATACATGCAGTTCGATCTTTTGATTATGAGCAGATCAAAGATTTCCAGTTCACCATTAAAGCGCAGGATGGAGGCTCTCCTCCACTCAGCAGCAATGTTACTGTGAAAATCCTGATCCAGGACCAGAACGATAATCCACCTCAGGTTCTGTACCCAGTCCAGACTGGTGGCTCCATGGTGGCTGAAATGGTTCCTCGTTCAGCAGATGTGGGCTACCTGGTGACTAAAGTGGTGGCTGTGGATGTGGACTCTGGACAGAATGCCTGGCTCTCCTATAAACTACAGAAAGCCACAGACAGAGCGCTGTTTGAAGTGGGCTTACAGAATGGAGAAATAAGAACTATCCGTCAGGTGACTGATAAAGATGCTGTGAAACAAAGACTGACTGTCATAGTGGAGGACAACGGGCAGCCCTCTCGTTCAGCTACAGTCATTGTTAACGTGGCGGTGGCGGACAGCTTCCCTGAAGTCTTGTCGGAGTTCACTGACTTTCCTCACGATAAGGAATACAATGACAACCTGACTTTTTACTTAGTGTTGGCTCTGGCTGTGGTTTCCTTCCTCTTCATCACGTGTTTAGTGGTTATTATATCAGTGAAGATCTACAGATGGAGACAGTCCCGCATCCTGTATCACTCCAGCCTCCCTGTGATTCCATATTATCCACCTCGTTACTCAGACACTTTGGGAACAGGAACTCTGCCACATGTGTACAATTACGAGGTCTGCAGAACGACTGACTCCAGAAAGAGTGACTGTAAATTTGGAAGAGCTGGTAGCCAGAATGTGTTGATAATGGATCCCAGTGCAACAGGGACAATGCAGCGGGCACAGAATGAGAAGAGTATCCTGGATGAACCCGACTCTCCTCTAGAGGTTGGTAGTATTATCAATAACATCTATTTATACTTATTTTTCCTATGGATTCAAAGTCTTTCCTCATGTGGAATGTGTTTTCGGCATACATTTGAAGACAATCCAAATTCTTCATAATCCTTTTTAATTATTTGTGTCCTTTTTTTGTGACTCATTTGTGATTCATTGGAGACCACATATAGTTGTAACATGTTGTATGTTTTCTTAATTTTTTTTAACTCCAAGTCTGACTTTTTTATCTCATTGAGTTCAAACTGTGATAAAAGCCTGATCATGTGTTATCTATTAAATATATCAGCAAGCAGATCAGTACTTCACACAGAAAATTTCATGAATTAATCTCATTGGGATTGAATAGTGATTGAATTGTAGCCTCAAAAATCAGGATTTTTACCATTTTAAAGTAGAAAATGCTCTTTGAAAGTTCAGAAAAAAAACATCTGGAAATTAACACAATCTGAATGCATTGTAATTCTCAGTATACATTATGTATTACTTTAATGCAGTCCATGTAGTGCCACTAAATCTCAGACTTTAAAAACATTTTAACATTTCTAACATAATAGCTGCAGCATTTATAAATGAAAGCTGGAGCTTTTATAAAGGCTTTGCTCTGGCCTCCACAATAAACCAGTTATGTATGTCTATAATTGTAACAATTGCATTTTTCCAGTTTATTCTAACTTATCTTGCATTAATACTAAGTGTTAAGCCTAACTTACATATATATATATATATATATATATATATATATATATATATATATATATATATATATATATATATATATATATATATAGTACGCATTAGCATCTTCCTTAAGATACTTTGTCAACAACTTATCTTGTGAATCAGTAAACAATTTCTCTCCACGATTGTATCCAGCACAAGGAATTATATTTGATTCCTGGTCTTCTGTCTTTCTTCTTGCTTTGCAGAAT